AAACGACTATTGTTCATATTATACTTTGCAATTAGTTCAAATTTATCATCACTGATTGTGCCAATCCTATACTTAAAATGCAAATCATATCCCTTTTCTGATAGTTGCCCCACACTCAATAAATTATGATGAAAACTCGGCACATAAATTACATATGATATAAAATTAGAAGAACCGTCTTTCATAGTAATGCGAATTTTTCCCTTTCCAACAGCAGGTACCTTTGCGTTATTTCCAAGTCTCACTGTACCTCTAAATGTTTCTTCTAGATTAGTGAATAATTTTTTTATTTTCACTCATATGATTGCTGCAACCCGAATCAATAAACCATTCATTCCCTTTAGTTTCTTCAACCCCAGAACTAGAAAACAATAAAGTCTCTTGTTTATCCCCATTATTTTCAGTCATCTTAGCATGTACGTCTTTATTAACGGATTTATTAGACCAACATTCGCTTTCATAATGTCCAAATTTACCACAATTATAGTACTGAATCTTAGATCTATCATGTCTTTGAAAATTTTGATGATCTTATTGTTCCTTCCAAAAATTGTTAATATTTCTTTGTTGATAAGAAAAATTACCTCTACCACAACTGCCTCGATAGTTACTTCTACCACTACCTCTACCTTTAAAATTCTAGTATCTTTGATTTGTTTCTTTAGGATAACTTGTCTCTTCTTTTGCTTTAGGTTGGTTCACCTTTGCTTGCAACGCCTCTTCCACTATTTCGGGTGTGTCTTGAGCCAGGGACATCTCATATGTCACCAATTCACCTTCTAAATCATCAAGTGTAAAAGTGCTAAGATCTTTGGTAGCCTCAAGAACCACCTTCTTCGTGTGAAATTTTATACTCAAGGACCGCAATATTTTTTCAACTACTTTAACTACATCTAGTACTTCTCAATTGGTCCTCATGCCGTTGACAATATTAGTAATTCATGTAATGAATTCTTTAACGAACTTTGCTGGTTTCATTTGGGCCAACTCGTACTGTCTCCTTAGCTCTTGTAATTTGACTTTCTTTACTTCGGCGGAACCTCGATGTGAATTCACCTAGATTCTCCAAGCCTCCTTAGTTGATTTTGCATGCAAAAATTTGTTAGATATACGCAATTCAACCTTGATGGTGAGATAGTAACGTGCCTTAAATTCCAATTATCTATTTTTCTCTAATTGCTTAACTGCATCACCTGTCAATGTTGTACCTTCTGGGGGTTCCTCAAATCCTGTTTCAACAATGGACCATAATCCAGCAATATTGAAAAAATATTTCATATATTGATGTCAATCTTCAAAATTATTTTTGCCATCAAACTTGAAAACTTGGCAATCATGTAAATATGGAATATCCATAATTTTTTAGGATCTCCACCGACTCTGACAGAATCTCACACAGGCTCTGATACCAATTTGAAGGATTTAAATACTCCAAGAACGATTTAGGCACAAGCAAAAAATTCAGCAAAAACTATATATAAGAAATTTATTAAACTAGGGAGAGAACTTGGTAGGAGACTTTTTCACAACTCATAAACTCTTGAATCTCTCTACAAGAAAAAATAAGTAGTAGCACCCTGTTCCAATATAAAATTGGTAAACAAAAGCTAACTAGACATAAATTAAATAAACTACCAAATATCAAATCCTAGACATCTTAGAAATACTAATTAATCTTGGTCTAGTTTCCAACACCTTGAAAGCATATCAATCTCAAGAGAAATACATATGACAAGTTTCTACCTTCCAGTAAACACCTGTTCCATTAGTTCCAGACTTCTAGTATTGTAGGGTATGTTAAGAAATTCTTGAAGTAAATTGTAGGGTACGCTTCCATAAACTAATTGTTTGATTTATGTAAGGTAATATTTTAATCGATTTTAAAGTCCTACATATTTATATCATTTATCTAATTCAATAAGGACTAAAATTTTAGTTAATTTTAAAGTCCTAAATTATTAGGAATATAATTAAATTATAATTTTGTCCAATATAAAATTTGATTTTAAGGGGTAAAAAAGACGAACGACATTTTGCTAAAGACCTTCGTGCTTTTAATATAGTATAAAATATATATATNAATATATTGTTGCGCCTCTGTTTTTGTGCACTTCATTTTGCGCTTTTCTGGATTTAATCCTACTTTTCATCTCTTTCAACTCTTTTAAAGTGCAGTAAGAATCGATTTGACGTTGGTGGATTGCGTTAATTTGATTTTGACTGAGCAAAATAAGGTTCAACTATGATGTTTCACAATTTGGGGTAGCTGTGTAATCCAACAGATGTACCTTTTAATTTCAGTGACCTTATTTGTTTTTCTTCTTCCTCTCATGGGTTATAAAAAGCATGAATTTGTTTAGAAAATTCATGTCTAATTTCATATTTTTGTGCCTTAGATGTGAGGATGGATGAGATGCCCACAGATTGATATCATATCCTTCAATCAGTTCTATTTAGTGTTCAATCTGATAAGAAATAGATAAACGATGTTGAAATGGCATAATATAAGCAACTTATAGAATGGGGCGAAAATTCAATGTGCATATCAATTCTGAAGCAGAGGAAGATGTGAATTAATGTTAACTTCACAAACACATATATATTTACAGATTATTGAAAAGAAACTGCAACTTGAAGCAGACTCATTCATAACTTTGCTCAAATAATGATGAAGTTGGTTAAAAGGGGACATAAAGGAACACAAATAGTGTCTACAATTACTGAAATTAGAAAGATCTGAAATTTGGATATAGAATAACAATTTAAAAAATCTTATACAATTTATTACATCTGCGAACTGACTGTATAATTTGAACTTCATCGGCCTTCCTACATCTTCTTAGTGAATTTGTTATTTACCTTTGTGTCCGTAAGCTTTATTCTTAAAGTATGGAGATGCTCCATATTTTATGAATAATGGAAAAATAGTATTATATCAGGTGTATGTGCATATGAACAGTGAGAATACCTGCTTTAATCGTACTATGTTAGTTTTCATAGTAAAATGACACTAGAACAATGACATCAAAGAAAGAGATGGACCAAATATTCCAGTCCTTTTAACATGAAGAGAGACAATGGACATGTATAATAAATACCAAAACTTCCTTCTCTTCTTTCACCAAGTTGAGAGCTGATATTTTTTCTTGTGATTAGTGTTCAAGTGGTTGAACAAAATCCAAGAATTATAGAAATGCGTTACCAAAAAATAAAACTCCTTCAATATGATCGTCTTAGTCCATTGTCTCTCTTTTTATTTGAATGACATACCATACCAAGAAACATTTTCTTCCTTATCTGGCTTTACACTTTCGTGTGTTTTCATTCAGTATACTTAGATTTTTGGATCAAAAAGGTATTCTTGCACGAAGATAAATTTCAATTTCTGTTTGTTGCAACTGATGCTACACTTTCTGTGTGTGATTTTGATATAACTTCCATTGATGTAGTCAGAATCTATTATTTTTTATGTTGTGGTTTATGCAGGAACTTTATGAAGCAGAGAGCTTCTCATGCTGAGAAGGCCACTTTTTGAAAATTATCTCTTTCCTTTTGTTTCTTTAATTTTACATAATTGAAAATTGTCTCTTGTTTGTGTATTGACTATGAACTCTCCTTTTCACCCTTTCTGTTCTTTGCTAGCAGCTGGACTACTTTTATTTGTTAAAACATGGGGAATTAATCTTTTCATCAATTCTTTGGGATTATTTTAGCTCACAAAAAGTTAAATTTAAAATCTTCATTTTATTTATTCAGTGTGGTCTAAACTTTTTGCCGCAGAAACAACTGTTACCTATTGAGCAGACAACACCTGTTAGACAAACTGTTCAAAATTCATTTACAACCTCAAACGCAAACAGTAAGCTCACATATGATAAAAGTTTTGTTGGGTGAAAAATAAACAACAATGTCTAAGATGCTGAAAACGATTAAACTTCTCTGAACAATTTAAATATTTTCACAGTAAGGAAAGAAGCACTAATAGTACCTCTTCATTTGGAACAATTGAAAACAAAATGTATGTTCCACCTCTTTACCGCTCTTAGTGCAAATTGCATATTTTCAACTGCTCTATTATACTTACTCCCAATTTGTTGTTCATACAGATACTTTATTAGATTTCAAGTGCAACAAAGATGGCCTGAATGCTTTTTCATAGCCTACAGCAGTTGTAATCTTTCACATTTTGTGTAAATTACTACGAAAACTCTCTTTGTATATTCTTGTAAATACATATAGACCCTTTTGTGCATACATCCATATTTTCATTGAAATTCAAAAACGTCTGGTCATAGCTCTGCTCCAAAAAGCAAAACGCTATTTACTAAATGTCAACATAATGTATAACAAAAAAGCAAAACACTATTTACGTTGGGCTCGGGGCAAAGCCCGGGCTACCCCTACTAGTATTTATAGATATAGATATAAATTATTAAAACCCAATTCAAATATTACTGTTCAAAGGATTGAGTTTGATCAATATGTGGCAGTCAAAGCGGAAAGCACACTTCTTTTACCCGCTTTCCCAGCCCACCAATATGACAAAACGAAAACAAGAGGGATGCATCCAATCGGAGAAGATTTATGTTTATATATAGTTGACACATTAATTGAGGATACCTTAAAAGGCACGTAATCTGCAATTGACAACAGTTCTAATACACAAGACATTAGGCGATAATAAAATAAGAAATAATTCCCAGTTATAGACAATTTTGACAAATTAAAGAATATGTTCCACCGTTACCAGATTGTGTTGTTTATTAGTAGTCTTTGCTACATAAGATATCAATACAGCACATAACGATTAACATGTGACTTATTTCTTTCGTCATAATATATGACTCAAAAAAGAAAAAGGGGGAATGAGACAAGGGGTAGAAATGTAATTTGACAGTCCAAACTCCAAGCCAAATACTCCACCACAAGAAAAACCGGTTAGTAAACCGCCAACCCATAACTAAAATTAGAATTAAGTCGGCTTTTCTGTTCCTTAACACTGCCCTATTCGTCCCTTCCGCGTATAAATCAAATCCTTCTCTCCTTTATTCAATTCTTGTCTTTCTTTTCTTTACAACAAAAAGTTGATAAAAAGCTTCCAATTCTGAGGTCAGATATCTCCACTTTAATTTTCTACCTTTTTCTTTGCTTCCCTTTTCTCAGCTTCTTTTTTCTTTCTTTTCTGTCTTCCAGAATATAATGGCACGATAACACTAATCTTAGAGCTTAAGTTTCTCCAACTATTTATCTAATTTCACTCTTCTAATTTCTTTGTCTTTAGATGGAGCAACTTAGAGAAGAAGACCAAGTTTCCATGACAATAGAAAATCCAGAAATGTTACTTTCTTCCGATTCTGAAGCCGAGTCGTCTTCTAATCCTAGATTGGAGCATAACTTCAGGTTAGACAGAATCCAGAATTTACATTTTATAATTTCAAGCCGTCCCTTCTTAGTTCAAATAATTGTTTTTGACATTTTAGCGAGTTTTTACCTTCATATTGAAAATATGCTACATTCGTCACTGCTTCAGGTTGTTCAAGACAAATGGGATGATAAAATTAGAGGAAAATAACAAAGAACATGGTTTAATCAAGTCAGGGTTTATTACTTGTATGGGGCCATTGGCAAAACAAGTTGAAGTTGTAGCCATACACAAAAATTCATGTTCAACTCTATTAGGGAAAGCAAGATTGGAAGCTTTTCGCATTTTCTCTGAAGCAGTGAGGGAAAAATGCAATGGAAATGCCAATATCAAATATGCTTGGTTTGGTTCTTCTAAAGAGGAAATTGGTAACATTATTTCTCATGGATTTTCTACAACTACAGAACCAAAATCTGGAGAATGTTTTGGCATTGGTGTTTATCTTTATCCAGCAAATTTCGATGGGTAAGCAATTAATCAAGCTCAAAACAATACTCTCTTGTTCCACTTTGTGACACTTTTTTTATTTTTTTTAAAATAGTAGTAACGTGTCTGGGCCAGTTTGTACACTTACTCCGTTACAAAAAAAAAGACGTTTTAAAATTATTATCTTTAAACTTTTTATTTTAATCATAAAGATATCAATATATTATATGTGTATTTTGATAATGTACCAAAAGTCTTTATTTTTATTATAAACTCGGTGTTTAATCATATGATGCCACATTAAATGGAGTAGCAAGATTGATCTAGTCTTGTATAGAAAGTTTTTTCGCGCGTATGTATTATATTTTCTCTTTATATATGTAAATTAGCACCTATTCAAACTCGTTTACTCTAAATTTTAGATCTAACTCAGGCATAAATATGAACAAATTTATGATTCATCATTTACTTAAATGTAATTATTTATTTATTGTGGGTTGAAGGGTATTATCAGCAGTGGAAGATGAGAATGGATTAAGGCATATGTTACTTTGCCGAGTAATCTTAGGGAACACGGAAGAGATTGCGGCTGGCTCCACACAATCTCAGCCGACTTCTGAAGAATTTGACTCTGGGGTTGATAATATTGTGGCTCCTACAACATACACTATTTGGGCTTCCCACATGAATTCTCATATTTTCCCCAACTTTCTAGTCAGTTTCAGGTGTCCTAATTACTTGTTAGGTAAGCAACCCAACATTTATAGTTTGTACACAAATTATGTTACTCCCTCGGTTCCAGTTTATGTGAACCTATTTCCTTTTTTGTCCTTCCCAAAAAGAATGAACCCTTTCTAAATTTGGTAACAATTTAGCTTAAACTTACAATTCTACCCTTAATGAGAAGCTTTTATAACACACAAATACTCTGGGCCCCATTTGGACTTGTTTAGGACCACAAATTCCAAAAGTCTTTATTTTTTTTTTAAACTCTGTGCTCAGTCAAACAGGTTCACATAAATTGGAACGGAGGGAGTAAATCTTTTTTCCTTTTTCTTTTGTTGTTTTTGCTTTGACTAATTTGAATTCACGTTAGATAGAATAAGCGTACTCTATTAATTTTTATATTCCCAAAGTAATGAAGCATACAATCAATATTCAACAGTATTTTTTTATTTTTTTATTTTATTAGGTTCTTCAAAAATTAGGAAGGTCCCATTGAAGCCCACTCCACGTATAAAGTTTCCTGATTTATTGCGAGCGCTTTCCAAGTTTTTACATCCTTCAAGAATGGCTTCGATCTCAAAATACTATGAAGATTTTCAGGTATGTTTTTTTTTTGTAAGAAATTTATTTTTATTTAATTTCAGGTACGTTTATTATTATTCTGTTTATTAAATAATTAATAACTGTTGGTAACGTGGTCTCTTTTAATGTATAGAGAAGCAAGATCACGAAATTGGTACTCGTTCGGAAGCTGAGGCAAATAGCTGGAGATACGTCATTAAGAGCTGTGATGAAATTGTATCCACACAAGGTACAGCTTCAATACCGACATTATTTAAACAACTTGGTCCAATTACTAAATATGGAATAAGTTCTTGGACTTTTAAACAACCATTTAAGTTATTTTTCTTATATTTGGAAAGATAACAACGAGATGTTTTTTTTTTTTTTTTTTGCTTTCCTAATTTCATATTTTATAAACTGCCACTACATTTTAATTTGTGTTCAATATTGTTCAGTAGGATATCGGAAACTAAGAGCTTGTTGCTTCGCTGCAAAGGAATGTGATTAGCAGCTAGCTACCATGTTGTCGAAGTTTCAAGTGTGAAAAGATTTTTCCATATTTTCTAATTACAAGTCTTTATTTGTAAATTGTATACATATTTCGACAACAAAATTATATACGTATTTGATACTTATTCCCTTGCCACAAATTCATACGAAATGAACTTATTTCCTTTTGTTTTTCTTGTTTCTTATTTTCAAATGTATGTGCAAAGATGAGAATCGCAATTTATTTACTGATTGAATCCAATTACTCTTCTACGCCAAATCGCTGGCGTCTCCAATCAATCGAGTTTTAGTTGATAAAACTTAACTTAAAAATAATGGTCAAATGGGGTGGAAAAAACAGAATATGGAGTAAAAATGGCAATTTACCAAATAAACACGAGCTTTTATGTTCATTCGAAGAAAATTTTTAAAAAAGAATGAGACAGTTGTTAATAAAAATGTAGTTGAAGAAATGAAGTAATATAATACCAATGTATTAATAGCTAACACATTTTATATTCATTGAAGTCTCTAAATCAACTAATTAAGGCATGTAGTAAAATGGATGAGATTTCTCGATTCTTAATAAAAAGTCTCGGGTTCGAACTCTAACAATAAAGAAATTTCTAGCAGGAAACATAAATCGCAAAATTATCAATTCAATAGGTACCAATGACGAAAAGAAACTTCTGACTCCCCGTATTAGTAACAAAAATGTCACATAAAATGGCAGGCATTATTTTGTGATAGCGAATGAAAATATAGCATAAAGATTTATTCCTCTAAACTGTTCATCTATTTATATGATTCAAACCTAAAGAAAAATCTGTGAACATAATGAGGCCTATATACTAACCCGCCAAGAGGGGTTGTTCAGATGGTCGGCCTCCCATCTACCATCTACAATCCTAGAACTGTGGAATCGAGTCATCAAAGGAGCAATAGCTCTGCTCATGTAATCGAATACCCTCCTTTTCGTAAATGGCAGCCTTAACATCTCCAATTGTGTCATCAGGGTCCACCGCTACCTTAAGCACACGTCCTGATAAATTATTTATCACAAATACCTGTGTCACTGATTTATATTGAAGCAACAGAAAACTCTCATTTTGGTCATAGAGATACTCGGAATCATCAGGCTCAGCTCCACAGAAGGTTAATTTCTGTTTATGAAATGGAATCCCCTCATATTTTTGAATGACAGTCTTAACATCTCCGATGGTGTCATAAGGCCCTACCATTATCTTAAGGACGTGCCCTGAGACAATGTTTCTCACAACTATTTGAGTAGCTGGTGCATATCGAAAGATTAAAGTGGAATCCTTAATGATTCCCAGAGAAGGAAGAGCTTGTGCATCCCTCAAAGTTCTCCCAGCCTCATTCAAGAGTTTCTGTTTCTTAAAAGTTAAAAGGAATACCCTTTTCTTCCTGAACGTACGCTTTAACTGCAGCTAAAGTGTCATCTGTGATAGGGATATATTAGATATGCCCTAGATCCAATCTCATGTTTGATGATTTGAACATATTTTTCA